CCCTGGCCTGAAGGTGGGGTCCCATGAGGGCCCCAACCCCTTCCACCCATGAAACTGTCTGTATCCTGCTGCCATTCATGGTGCCCAGATTGTAGGTGCCAAGGGGTACCTGCAGATCAGCATCAACCTGCCCTCAGCTCTCTGCCAAGTTTCTCGCCTATGCTCATAGGCCCCCCCAAATCTGGAGGGGGTCAAGGTGGCAGGGGGCCGATGTGTTAGCACTGCTCCAAGTGTTTGCACACCTGGCCAGGCTGTGACAGTGCCTGGACTAAGTCTCAACTTTGTTCCAAGATCAGAGTGGGCACTAACAGCAACAAGCCAGGCAGTGGGAGCAGGCATTTATGAGCCTGGGAGGGTGGGGTGGGGGTCCTTCCCAGGCCCCCAAAAGTACAGGGATGCCAGTCCACCATTGCAATTTGGGCAGCTGCTGCTATGCCAGGGGCAGGGCTCCTGCCTGCTCCCTGGAGCGGGAGGCCCAGGTCTGCAGAGTGAGACTCCCACCTGCTCCATGAGAGCACAGGGATGCCTGGGTTCACAGCCATGTCTTGGGTGGCTGCAACGGCACCCGAGGAGCTCCTGCCCCAACTCAGGGCTCCTGCCCACTCTGTGATGCATGTACCTCGGCTGCACCTCCCTGCTGCAGCCAGTGTGATGGCAGTGGCTGCTCCAAACGGCCCACTGCTGCCATCAATCTCAATTATATGTTGATTCTAGAAAGTCAGATTTCTGAAAGTTGAGATTAGAATGGTGATTTCCAAGGGTTGGAGGGTGTAGAGTGAGGGAAATGGGGAGACATTGGTTAAAGGATAAAATATTTCAGTTATATGGGATGAATAAGTTCTAGAGATATACAGCATGGTGATTGTAGTTAATATTACTGTAGAATATACTTGAAATTTACTAAGAGAATAGATCTTAAATGTTCTCACCACACCACATACAAAAAATTGGTAACTTATATGAGACGGTGGCTATGTTAATTAGCTTGTAGTAATCATTTCACAATATATATGTATATCAAGACATTACATTGTCCCTCTTAAATATATAAAATTTTTATCTTGTCAATTATACTTCAATAGAGAACCCCTTCCCCAAAATTTGTGGTTTAGAGTTAGTATGAATAATGCCAGTGGGTTTTCAGTTTATAAAAGCATGATCTGCTGACAAAAGAATGAAAGAATGAGGGGAGCAAGTTTTAGGAGATATGTAGATTGAGGAAGTTTCTTCAGAAGGAGCTGCTGTCTTTTCCATTCCGGTTTTTATTCTGTTTGATCTGGCTGTCACGTGGAACTCTGATGTAACTAGGAAACTCACTCCTCAGGTTAAATGTGAACGTGATGGTCTGTGAATGTACTATGTACAAGGGACATCATCACATTTAAGGAGCCTGGGAACAAGGTTCTTTCAGTTTGGTTGGTCTGCACAAGTTTTTAAGTGGTGGGACTCTTTCGAAAGGACTTCAGTGCTGAGACTTCGCAAAGCATGTGGTGACGGGCTGAGGGATAAGACCAGAAGGTAGGTCCTAGCCAAGGTTTTGCACTGGCATTCTTACACTCTCCTGCCATTGTCCCTGTGATGAGATGAGCTTCAGTCATACAGTTTGCTTGAAAATATACCTCATGGGCTGGGCGCAGTGTCTCATGCCTGTAATACCAGCACTTTGGGAGGCTGAGGTAGGTGGATCATTTTGACATCAGGAGTTTGAGACCAGCCTGGGCTACGTGGTGAAACCCTGGCTCTACTAAAAATACAAAAATTAGCCAGGAATGTTGGCCCCTGCCTGTAATCCCAGCTACTTCGGAGGCTGAGGCAGGAGAATTGCTGGAACCCAAGAGTAGAGGTTTCATTGAGCCGAGATCATGCCACTGCATCCCAGCCTGGGCAACAGAGTGAGACTCCATCTCAAAATATTTTAAAAAGAAAATACACCTCATGAAGTGTCCTACAATCAAATCTCTGAGACAGAGAAGAGATATGGCATGCCCCATTGCAATTAAAGACAAACCTGGCTTGTAACCTTGACTTCTGCATCTGTCAAGTGATGACAATTAATGCAGCAATAACTGCACACCTCTCTCACTTCCTCTCTTCTGATCAGGGAGGACTGTGAGAATTAAGAGTTGATCAGAAAGCAAAGTAACAGCGATATGTTACAGAGGAGTAAGCTTGCAATGAGATCTGTGAAATTTAGCAAAACATAGGCAGTGTCCCATTCAGCTAGATTGGATTGGTGATAAGGCAGTTTGACCTTGAGGCTGTCCAGAATCCTTTCTGCTAATGAATGCCACTATAAGGGGAATCCCTGCCTCACCGTTTGCATATAGATTTAGAAGGAAATGCAGATTTGATCATTTGGTTTCTGTGTAACTTTAGAGTCAAAATGAAACTAGAATGTGAATATTAGAGTATGTGAACCTCTTAGTATAAAGCTGGATTCCCCTCTTACTGCTGTAGCATTTAGGAAATTGTGCCTTATAACAGCAGCAATCAATATATGCGTTGTCCTTTCATCATGTAATAATGACTGCAGATGCTCAGATCCTAGTTTTCTATAGAATCTAGCAACCCATTGTTTGGATACAAGGGTGCATGAATTCACAATATTCACTGCACATTTTCTTTTTTTTTTAAGTTTGGTGATAATAAACCTGTTATTTATTTAGCAGAGGTTTTTTTAAAAAGAGGAAAACCACACTTCTCACTTAGAATGAGGCAATTACCCTTATATAGAGAGTATAAACAATTAAAAACCAATAATAAAGGCAAAGACAAAAAGAAAAATTGAAATTTTTTTTAAAAAAGCACATAAACCCTACATACTAAAATTATACACATCAAGTACTGGTCCAATCTTATATTAATCTATTTACAATTAAACAGCACCATGGTTTTCCCCCCTAGGTTAGTTAAACATGCCCAGAGAATTGTTATTCAAAGTATATGTTCCTTTAAAATAAAACAAACTCTTAAAGAGAGCTCAAATCCTCAACAAAAAAAGACCTTTTACCAATCGACATCAAAAATATTGATGACATCACCAATTTTCCTTAAGAAAAAATAGTTTTAAACACTTTTTCTTTGCCAGCTGACAAACTTTTGAGAAGTGCTACTATTTGATGTGGTACACAAATGAACAAAAACTCTGATGACAGGAGCGATATACTGAAATACCCTAATATCTCCACCTCTAAACACAAAAAAAATTCTCCTTTGGGGTTAATGCTGTGGTCGTCACTTGAATTTAGATTCAATCATCAGCAAATTTAAATTAGATATAGCCACAATCTTTAAAGTGATTGCATAAAAACAGGGTAGTAGTTAAAGCTCTCAGAAACGTGATAACTTACAATTACAGATATATTTAATCAGGCTATAGGAAATGTAACACCATTTAAATGTTACATTTAAACTAATTAGCAGTTTCATTTTTGTCATTAAAATTAATAATGCACTTCACATCCAAACAGGTGTGGAGGGCTGATATTTTCCAACTGAGAACAGCGTTAAGTGCCTTCTTGTCTGTACTTTTTCATCTCGCGGATTCTCAGGGGTACATTGGTCACACGTTAGCCCCCTTCTCACTTAAGAAACCAACTTTTAAAAGGCTCCAAATTAAACTTAATTCTTGGCAGCTTTACTCCAGTCATAGTATAGAAGAATCAGATTATCTCACTGGATTTTTCAGTCCCCTAATCCTAACTTGCAAAAGGGTCTTAATTTACCTCTTTGCTACAAAAGATGAGGGAGGAAAATTGTCATCTACCATGACTAGAGGTAACAGAGAACTGGAAAGCACTAAGGTATAAAGCAATGTTCCATTATTTGGTCTCACTAATGTTTATGTGACACCAGTAAACCATTCACACTTACAAATTTTGAGTTGAAATTTCCTCTAAAAGATTGAAAATAGGCACAGTTCTCCCAGGAACAGATAGAATATGCTTTCCTTACACTACTCCCTGCAAAGTGGAGGAGACCAATGACTTTACTAACTTGTAGTGGGAACAGCTTACTTGATTCTGGTGTTTCCTGGCCCAGAAACCATGCATTTGGGGGTTATAGTTTGCTATGAAAAGTTCCAAGCAGGATAGCTAGATCAATGAAGGTATAATATAGCAGTGACCTTCTAAGCCTGGATATAAAAACAGCTTCAATATATAGACCTTTCAAAATACGTATGCAGCAAGATGACAGTGACTTTTCAACTGAGTATCTGTTGAAAATCAGAGACCTGACTGTATTGACTAAATTATTGCCTCGTGTTCCAGAAGGGTGCCTGCCACTAATGTGCTAGAAGGCACCAAAATTTAGTGTGAATGTAAATAAGGAGCTCGACACGTGGGGAAGAGGAAAGCAACACTAAAGCATAATTTGCCAGTCTCTACTCACTTATGGCTAAATATTAATCGAGCTAAGAATAAAAAAAAAAACAGAATAGAAACAACCTCAAATACTGCTTTTTTCAGTCTCCATTAGAAAAAAAAAAAGCTTAAGTTTTATATCTATTATTTATGGTTTCTGGAAATTATATAATTTGATATATTCTTCTAAAAAATTCTGTATTCAAAAAGGTGCTTGGTGCTGTCCTTCATGGATGCAATGTTTCATTTACAGTCCAAGTCATTGAAATACAGCCATTACATAGGTGTTGTTTTAAAATAAATGGTTATCTATTTCTTAACCACCCTTCAAATTAGAAATTGTAATTACATGAGTCTCAAAGCTTGGCTCTTTGTGTTTTATTATTTTTGTTGGTATCCATCACAGATGGAATTTTTCTTTTTTCTTTTTTTCTTTTTATTGCATTTTAGGTTTTCGGGTACATGTGAAGAACATGCAAGATAGTTGCATAGGTACACACATGGCAGTATGTTTTTCTGCCTTCCTCCCCTTCACCCACATTTGGCATTTCTCCCCATGCTATCCCTCCCCAGCTCCCCCCGACGCCGCTGTCCCTCCCCTATTCCCCCCAATAGACCCCAGTGTGTAGTGCTCCCTTCCCTGTGTCCATGTGTTCTCATTGTTCATCACCCGCCTATGAGTGAGAATATGAGGTATTTCATTTTCTGTTCTTGTGTCAGTTTGCTGAGAATGATGGTCTCCAGGTTCATCCATGTCCCTACAAAGGACACGAACTCATCGTTTTTGATTGTTGCATAATATTCCATGGTGTATATGTGCCACATTTTCCCAGTCCAGTCTATCATCGATGGGTATTTGGGTTGGTTCCAGGTCTTTGCTATTGTAAACAGTGCTGCAATTAACATTCGTGTGCATGTGTCCTTATAGTAGAACGATTTATAGTCCTTTGGATATATACCCAGTAATGGGATTGCTGGGTCAAATGGAATTTCTATTTCTAAGTCCTTGAGGAATCTCCACACTGTCTTCCACAATGGCTGAACTAATTTACACTCCCATCAGCAGTGTAAAAGTGTTCCTATTTCTCCACATCCTCTCCAGCACACAGATGGAATTTTTCACTGGTAATTCCTCAGAACTAAATCCATTCATAGGGAAGGAATTTAGAGCAGTGAAATAAATTTCACTCCGTAGAGTAGGACATGACAACAACAATAAAAGGGCGCAGAGGGATGTGGGAACCAGCCAGCAGGCTCAGTTCAGTTCTCCACTGCTGTTGGGTTTTGCACAGGTTGGCTCACTATCACCTGTACAACGTAGTCCTTTGGGATCTTCAGCTCTTCGAACTTCATTTTGTAGGTGAGAGGTCTGCCAGAAAAGAACCCCCGCTGACTACCTGGTTCCACTCCCTCTGCTGCATGCAACCGTCTCTTCATGTGGAATACCGTGTCTGTGCTGCGAACCACAAGTTTGAGGTCTTTGCCTCCAGTGCCCTCTGAGTTCTCGTTGAGGCTGCCAGAGGAGTCGTGCTGGGCGCCCACACACCCGCCCATGGGGGCGCCCGGCGCCTCGTCCGCCACCTCCGGACACTCCTCCGGGTCCGCCGCCGCCGCAGCAGCCTCCTCCGGCGCCCCCGCCGAGCTCCGGACAGGCACACCGCTCCGCTCGCCCGCCGCGGCCCAGCCTCCGCCCCCCAACCTTTTTTTTTTTTTGAGATGGAGTTTCGCTCTTGTTACCCAGGCTGGAGTGCAATGGCGCGATCTCGGCTCACCGCAACCTCCGCCTCCTGGGTTCCGGCAGTTCTCCTGCCTCAGCCTCCTGAGTAGCTGGGATTACAGGCACGTGCCACCATGCCCAGCTAATTTTTTGTATTTTTAGTAGAGGGTTTCACCTTGTTGACCAGGATGGTCTCGATCTCTTGACCTCGTGATCCACCCGCCTCGGCCTCCCAAAGTGCTGGGATTACAGGCGTGATTCACTGCACATTTTCTTTGTGTTTGCATTCTAATAATATGTGAATGAATTTACTAAAAAAGTACTTTCCAAAAAACGAAGTGTGGATTTTTTTTTCCCCTTTGGCAGGTAAGAGCCATAATACATGTTCATCATTTTTAAAAAATTGGAATAAGGCTGGGTGCAGTGGCTCGTGCCTGTAATCTCAGCTCTTTGGGAGGTCTGGGCAGCATGGAGAGACCCTGTCTCTAAAAAAAATTTAAAAATCAAGTGATCGTTGTGGCAGGCACCTGTAGTCCCAGCTACTTGGGAGGCTGAGGCAAGAGGATCTCTTAAACCCAGGAGTTTGAGGTTGCAATGAGCCATGATTGCATCACTGCACTCTAGCCTGAGTGACAGAGAAAGACCTTGCCTCAAAAAAAAAAAGAAAATAAAATAAAAAATAGATGAGAAGGAAGACTATGCAACCCAAACACAATCATTGTTGACTTGCATACAATAGGTTCCCTTAACTCATCTCCACATAAGGAAACCACCAGATTAATTGATGCAACCTCTATTCTATCTGCAAAGCCCTCTAGGCTCACCGTGTGACACTGGCATTCTCACAGTGCATCTGCACACATCTCCCACCCGTTGTATGGTCTACTTACCAAGAGTCTTTTTTGTTGTTGTTGTTCCCAGATGTGTTTATAAAGTTTGCAGTGAAAAATATGTAATTAGGAATTATGTAAATGGATGAAAATATAACACAGAAAGAACATTCTCCCCACCATCACCAAATAGCGTCAGATTAGGTGTCAACATGCAACTATAAAAGATTGAGAACAAATCATTAAAATCAAGAAGATTTGTCCTTAGATTGCTTCAAGAGTATCTTTAAGTTCTTGTTCCAGTGTAAAGAAACTAGAAAATTGTAGTTGATGCATTAAGGATGTGAGGCTGAATTGTTAGGTATGAAATATAAAATGAGCGAAGATACTCCCAAAACAAAAATTTAAACCCAACAACAACAAAACAGGAAATCCACACAGTGTTTACTAAGTGCCATGGACTGTTCCAGGCACTGGAGAAATTTTATTCATTTTATTGTCATAATAACTCTACAAAGTAGAAAGTAAGTGGTATCGTTATCCCATTTTACAAATGAGAAATCTGAGGTCCAGCAATGTGAAATTTCTTACCCTGGATAACCCAGCTGGTAAGTAATAGAGCAGACATTTAAACACAGGTAGCCTGGTCCTTAGTCCATCCCTTCAGACATTGCTTATACTGCCCTTGATTCTACAGCAATCTTTTAAATTTTTGAGTAAAAACTCCATTGATATATGTTTGTACCTTTAAAAACAATTTATTTTGGAAATCCTCAAGCCTGTACAAAAGTAGAGAGGAGAGTGTGATGAGATCCACTTCCCCACCACTCAACCTCAACAATTATCAAATCATGGCCAATCTTTATTGTATCTCTCCTCATTCACCTCCTCCTGGCTCTTGGAATATGTTAAAACAAATCTAAGAAATCATATATTCTCATCCATAAATATTTCAGAATGCACCTCTAAAAGACAAGGACTTCTTTTTAACTACACTTGATCTTAGCTAAAAAACCAAAAAGCGATGACAAGGGCTTATTTTTAAAAGCATAGCCAAAATGACAACATCATCATCACACTTCACAAATGAGCAAAAATTCCTTAATTTAATCAAGTATCCAGGCAGCATTTCAGTTGCTCTGATTGTCCCAAAAATGTGTTGAGGGATTTTCCCCACAAATAGATTCCAAGTAAGATCATTAGAGTCTGTTTCATCTACATGCCCCTCCCCTCCCTATTCCCCTTTCAATTTACAAGTTAAAAGAAAACAGGTCCTTTGCCCTACAAAGAGTTCCACAGTCTGAATTTTGCTGATTTTGTCTCCTTTGATGTCATTTAAACCATTTCTCTGTCTCTCTCCTGCATTTCTTACAAACTGGGAGTCATATATAGAGGTACAATCTGATTCAGGTTTTGATTTTTTTGTCATTAATACTTCATACGTGGTGGTGTGATAATCTCACCAGGAAGTATGTACTGTCTGGTTATATCTGTTTCTGTAATGTTAATACCCTTCCTGATCCTTTATTTTAAGGGATTGTATTCTATTATTCCTGCTTCATTCATTATGTGGAATATTTTCATAAAATGAAATTTGTCCTCATCAATTCTTTAGTTACCCTAAGTTTTGCACAGAAAGGCAGGAAAAATGCTTGGTTATTTTCTGTTTACCAGTTTTCAAAGAAAATGAGCTGTTTCCTAGCTTCTCTAAAGGTGCCTGATTTTCCCTGACTAATTTTAAACCTGTAACTTCGCAAATATTGACGTGCTTCGGTCTACTGTAGTTATGGATGCTTGAACTGTATTTTCTTTAGCTGGATAAACAGGACTTCTTCCAGTTAGTTATTGGGTACTTTTAACACTACCCCATCATAGTCTATTTTTATGTAATTTTTTATTACATAAAAATATTACCTATGTAATATTTTTAATGATATCACTCCATATTATCTTTTGTTCTATTTTTCAACTAGCTGATCAACAGCTAGGAGGCACGGTTGTTAAGGCTTCCTGGATTCATCATCCAGCTTTTGCATTTTCTGCTACATTACTTGGGCAAGTTATTTAACTTAGCTCTGCAACAATTCCTTTATCTTTAAAATGGGAATCATAGTAACTGTACTTACAAGTACAGTATGATTCCCATTTTAAAGATAAAGGAGCTGTCATTGGATTGTGATAGGTATGTAAAAACACTGAGCGCTGTACCTCACACATAGTAAAAACTCAACAAATAGTAGTTGTTCTCATTAGGTTTAATAGGACTGCTTTAATGTATCATCTTTCTAAATTTTTTTTTTTTTAGACAGAGTCTTGCTCTGTTGCGAGGCTAGAGTGCCATGGCACGATCTCAGCTTACTGCAACCTCCGCCTCCCAGGCTCAAGCAGTTCTCCTGCCTCAGCCTCCCAAGTAGCTGGGATTACAGGCATGTGCCACCACGCCCAGCTAGTTTTTGTATTTTTAGTAGAGACAGGGTTTCACCATGTTGGCCAGGATAGTCTTGATCTTGCGATCTGGCCTCCTCGGCCTCCCAAAGTGCTGGGATTTCAGGCATGAGCCACCGCGCCTGGCCATCTTTCTAAATTTTTCTAAGCATTATTGACATAGTTGTGATTATAATTTATATTTATTTGCTTCCTGACATTTTTTTCCCATAACAGCATCCACATTATATATGTTCCAACAAACATTTCAGAAACACAAATGCCAAAAATGGTGTAAAACTTTATTATGTGGTATATACCATAATTTACCTAACCTACAAGCTCTCCTGTAAAGACAGCGAATTTCCAATTTTCCCTAGTATTAATACAAATAATGCAGTAGTGACTATCTTTGTAGAAGTTTTTGTTTTTCTTCTATATTTAGCATTATTTCTTGCTATAAATTTCCCAAAGTGAAATGACTAAGTTATGACAAGATTTATTTCCCCACAGTTTGTAATTGATTCACATTTACCTTGAGTTTTTAGCGTGGTTTGAAAAATGTTTATCCACTGCCAATTACTTTTCATGCTCTTTTACACAATCCAGTGACAAAATCAAGCCAGTGAAATTGGTCAGCCCTGTTGAAAAAAGATAGTATAATATGGTCACCATCTCCCAGCGGTCTGTGTACAGCAATGTCACCCTAGCTTCGTGAGTCAAACCAGGGAGTTGGGGGGAAATTTTGGCTGCCACAGCCTTGAGTGTGGTGAAAAAAGAAGGAAAGAAATAAAGAAACCAGCACTCTGAGTAATCTAGTAATTGGGTTCTGCCCTCTCTTGAGTTGACCGGCAACCACAGTCATGTGACACAACCACCAAAGATGGTAACAGCTCAGCAAGAGTGACTTGGGCTGAACAGGTGCAGAGTCCTTGCTTGGAAAGGAAGCGTGGCTTACTCCGGCTCTGCTGTGCTCTTGAACCTGGCTGCAGGGGCATGAAAGGGGCTGAAATCTGGCCCAACCCCTGGAGATCAGTGAAGCCTAGTGTGGATATCACCCTTCCAGAAGGTTCCTCCCAAAAAGAGCAGATTTTTGCAACTCATCTTACCCAGAAGAGGTGCTACTTTTGAATTCACACAAAGGCTGTGTGCCACATAGGTTCCTGATATTCCTTTGAGTGAAGAGCCTTGACCTGACAGAAAGACAGCTAGAAAGTGCTTAGCTGTTGCTTCCCCAGAGTCAATTCCTTGTGGAACTTTTCTGTCCCTGCACCTGTGAAATTCACTTAATGGATTTTGGAGACCTGCTGTAAGATGGAAGATGACAGTCCACAAAGGCTGGGAATCTCAAGGTGTATTACTTGAGCCACCCCTAAACCCAACAAAATTTCCCATCTAAATTGCTATCCTCTCCGAAATAAGTATCTTAATTTAGCTAATTTTGTAGTGTAAGGGTGAAGCTACAGATGCTAAATGAGAAAAGCCTGAATTAGAATTCTGCCTTCATTAAAATAATATCTGTGTGATCTCCTTATCTGCAGACTCAGGAAATAGAAGCACCTGCTTTCTACTTTTCAGGGTTGTTTTGAGGACCAAGTGAGATACTGTGTACAAAGTGGCTGGTGTGTTTTAAGTATTCCATAAAGGTGGACTCTCGCTGTTATTGCCTATTTGAGCCACCTTTGCCTCCCACCCCTCATTTTGGGTAGGGAGTGGGTTTCTTCCTCTGGAGATGGGAATATTTCCATTGACC